GGCATTCTCGCGCGCAGAGGGTCGAGAGCACCAGGACAGGAGGTGCAGACCCCAGGGTGCTCACGCCGAGAGGTGCAGGTCCGGAAGCTGACTGCAGAGCAAGATGACGGCACGCAGCGCTTCTCTCGTGCTGGCCGCTGTCTCGGCGCTCTCTGTAACAACTCCCTTGTCCTCACCAAGCCCTTAGAGTGCCAGTGATGCAAACCGGGGACTTCCTCTCCGAGAGGCCAGGGTCCCCAGCTAGTGACAGAAGAAGGGCTAGAACTCAGGCAGGCCCGCCGGCATCCAAATTCAGTCTCACCCATGATGCATGCCATCCTTCCTCCTCCACGAGAGCCTTCTCCCAAGGCAGTGTGGGGGGCTCAGTCGTGTGCCTCAAATTCACATGTCGAATCCCTGACCCCCAGTACCTCGGAGTGTAACTCCCGTGGAAGGTCAGTTCTTGCAGGAGGTAATTAAGATAAAAGGAGGCATTCAGGTGGGCCCCAATCCAGGATGGTTGGTGTCCTCATAAAAAGGGGAAATGTGGAAACACACAGAGACACGGGGATGCGTGCACACTGTGCACACCGCGCAGAGAGGAGGGGAGCGGCCTCAGGAGCAACCACACCTGTCGGCACCTCGATCTTGGACTTCCAGCCTAGAAGCTGCGAGGAAACGAAAGTCTAGGGTGTGCACCCCCCCGGCCTGTGACGTTTGTTACAGCAGCGCGAGCAGACTCGTACAGACAGTGAGCTGTGGAAGGCTGGTCGCTAGGCAGGAAAGGGTGAGCACGAGCAGGGGACCGACCCAGGGCCCAGCCTTTCCAAGTCGAGAGGAAGAACACGACGATAGGTAGGCGACCCGACCGCGATTCCCAGGCGGCACGGGTGTCCTCCAGCGGCCTAGAGGGCAGTGTGTCCCGGGTGTGGGGTTTCACCATACTCTTAAATTTCCACAGCGCTTTTCCAGAGGTCCTTCCCACCGCGTCTCATCTTTCCCCCACCCGCCGGCAGCTGCAGAGGCAGCTGACCCTGGGCACGTCTGCGCTGGGTCTCCGGAGCCCAGCCGTAAACCGCGGGCTGAGAGTTCCTGGACGCGCTCCAGGGCCGGACCACTATCTCGGGGCTCCCCCGCCGGAGCCCAGTCATTTATATTTTAATGAGATTATTTTCCAACTCAACAGTTTATCTTTAGTTTCATGTTCCCCCTGCCATCTGGTCCCCTTCTGCTTGCATGTAAGGCTAGTGGCTTTCTTTGTGTAAGTAGGTTTGTCAATAGTTGATCATTCTTCTTGTCCTGATCATAATATTTATTTTTCACATCAGACAAACTCTTCTGGAGACTTGGAAGAAAGAGGTTTTTGTGTTTTTTTTTTTTTTTTTTGTCACGTCTCCCTTTAACCTGGATCCCCACCCCCACCCCCCCGGGAAACATGTTTTTTTTTTTAAGCATTAAATAAAAATAAATGAACAAAACCTCCCAAGCTAACATATCTTCGAGTTCTAATTACTGCTGGATACCCTAAACGAGACTTCATTTAAAGAGCTGTTTCCCAGCAGGCCAGCCTTGCAGCAAATGGTCATGAAGGCTTAAACTCAGGCAGCGGAAGTGACCTTCCTCCCCTGTAACTTTAAACTCAACCTCAGGAAAATCCCATACCGAGGATATTTTTATTTTTCTTTGTTTCTCAGTCTCTAACCCTTGAAGTTCTTATCTTAAAGCGGCTTATCTTTGGTTGATCAAGATCCTGGGGTTCCCTCCCAGTTGCTTTGGCTTTCTTAATTACTAATCTTTTTCATCATCAAAATTGATGCTCTGTGTTCACCATCGGATTATCTTGAGATCCCCCCCGCCCCACCTCCAGGAAAGGGCTTTGATATTCTGAGCTCCCCCTAGTGGCCGATGGCACTGTGCACCTGTGGGGGGCGGGGCAGGGGGGACGGGACTGCTGGGACTTGAGGAGCCCTCTGGGGACGGTCAGTCTTGGTGGGAAGGCCAGGCCTGCCCAAGGGCCTGAAACACGACAAACTGACCTCACGGCCTCTGACCTGTCCCCCAGCGTGTCCCTGGCACCCAGCCACGGCCTGGCACGCTGAGCGCTCCATAAACGAGTGAATGAAGGGCCTTGTGTTCTAACACCAACACGTGCGATGACCTCAACAAAGACTGAAAAAAGCATTGTGGCCGAAATAGAAATGGTGTTGTTCAGACCTGTGCGAGAAAAAGTGATTAAAAAAATCACTGACGTTTGATATCCCTATGCTTCCGAGTTCCTGGAGAGCTTGAAGTGCTGGTGAGATTCTTATCACCGACCCCGTTTTAAGGATGATGGGGACCTCGAGGGTTTGGGATTTTGGTTTTTCGTTTTTGTTCTTTGTTTTCTGAGGATTTAAAGAGACCACGTATGTAAAGCTCCCACCCCAACAGGACAGGTGGTCAGAGCTTTGAACACAGCCCTTGGTCCACCGCTTCCCTCTAGGACACGATGGAGTCGGGTTAGAAGTCAGTGCCTGGACTCTCACCTTCCCGCACGGCTCCGTGTCCCTCCCACACGGTCCCCAGACTCTGAGGGAGCACCTTCAGGACCGTGGGCAGGGCACCCTGGGCAGAGAGTGGCGCTCCGCTGCCCGCATCTGCCAGGGGTGAGGGGAGGGGGCCTTGCACCCCCCATGGCTAACGTCACAGATGCTCAACAGCTGGCGGTAGCACCCGGGAACCGTGCCAGGTGTCGACAAGGGACCCTGCGGTGGTCACTGCAACATCCCAGTGCTGGTTCCCGGCCGGCAGCTGTGTTTCTGGAAGAAGTAACGCCAGCAGGGAGGCTCCTGAGGCCCCGTGACGGGTCCACGGTACGCCTGCTCCCGGGGACGCTGGTCACCCTTCGCTGATTTTCTTCTGGGTAATGAATGCATGGCCCGGTCGCCCTTGGACACGGCGCCAGTGATAAATATCACCTGTGTCCCTGTGGTCCAGGGGGCCTGGATCAACGCATCACTCTGAGACGTGGCCCAGGCTTTCTGGCTGCTCTGACCTTTGTCGGGATGTTTATAAGAAACTGAAACAGTTTAAGCGGACTCCCATTTTCCACAGTCCTCCTTCTAAGGGCCATGTGGATTTTGCTCTTTTTTTCTCTGACCTTTTTCTTAAATCCGTCTTCCTAGGGGGGGCACAGTCCCATCCCCATCAGCCCTCCAGGCAGACGAGACGAACAAACAGCATGGCATTGAGGACCAGCTGGCTCCTCCACGGGGCCTGTCATTGGTGTGGTCAGGGTTGACCTGCTGTCGGGTTAAACAGCTACCAAGTGAATTGATTCATGTTAAATCCTCATTAGCTCACAAAGTTTCTTTTGCCTGATTTGCGAGTTTTCTTTTAGAAATCAGTACATTGCAGTTGGTGGGGGGGGAGGGGGGGAATATCCCTTGACGAACTGGAACATCCTTACAGCTGATGAGTACAAATGAAGTAGAATGTACCCATTTCTCTTTTGTGTAAAAGGAATTCTATGCTTGGTAGGGAAATTCAGTTCAGGTGTTTGGGGTTGGCATATTTACATGTGTGTGGTTGGTTTGTTTTCTTGATGATGAGGCTGCATTTCTATTCTTTTGCTAACTGGTTTCTCTTTTGTGTAATGTAAGAGTCAGAAGGGAGTGATGTTTAGGTAGGTGAGTGGGAGGGAAGAAATACAGGGAAAGGAGAGGGAGAGAGGAAGGAAGATGCATTCCTCTTCACCGTATCACTTGTCACCCAGAGAGACGCAGCTCTGAAAGTCGAGGCTGGGACTTCATGGCAGTTGCCTGGGCCCAGTGCGTGGCCCTGTCAGGACTGATGCTAAGTATTTTACGCACGTAAACTCATTATATTCACGGCAGGCTGCAGGGCATGTAGAAATAGCCCGTCTTACAGATAAGTAACTGAAGTCTCAAGGAGTTAAATAACTTGCCTTGAACCAGAAGAAAGCAGAAGTGAGTGCCTTCCAGTGGCTTGGACAGGGCTGTCAGAATTAAACCCAAATTCATCTGATCCGTCCTGCCCTCAAGCTGCCCTCCCCCCGCTGCACCCACGGGCTGTGCGTCCCTCCACCAGGGACCACTCACTGCCCCGAGGCCTTGACGGTGGTCCTGGACAAACAGCCACTACCCCCTCACTGCTTCTTCAACTCCTGACTGAAGGTATCACCAATGGTCTTTAAATTATCTTTAAAGACATTTTGTTAAAAGCAAAAAGCAGAAGAATGCATGGCATGGATTATAAACTGGCAAGCTGGATGGTGGGAAGCCACTCGGATCCCGGCGAAGAAAGCTGGTAACGAATTCGGTGCTGGCAGTCCTGCGGAAACTACTGAGAAACACTTCGGTGTGCGAACGCCCCAGAGGTGAGAGAGATCCCGCCTTGCTTTCACAGGGCAGCCAGCTGTTTCTCCGCGCCGCTGGCCTGGCAGGGCTCGGGAACAGCGCGGCCTGGGAACCTCCAGGCTCGGGAACCTCGGGGCAATCCTCAGGACTCGGACTGACAGGCTGTGGGCCCCCGGGGAGAGGGGCGTTCCCATGCGCGCGCGCACACGCATACACTCACACGCACCGCACGCGGTTACAAAGCACAGACACAGGAACTCGGGACATACACAGACGTGTGCACCTACAGACACTTCTCCCGCCCACCAACACGGGCGCACGCGACCTCACACACCTCTCCCGCCGATGCACGCGCACTACACAGGCGCGCAACACGCGAGCTCACACTGCTCACCTGTCTACGCACGCACGCTCCCACGCCGCGCACACACCTTCTCGTGCACACCCACACCCTCTTGCACAGGCACCCACCGCGTGCACACGCTCACGCCCTGTGCACACACTCTCTTGCGCACGCACACATGCTGGCGCGCCCGCGCCCACACGCCGAGCGGCGAGGGGCGGGGCGGGGTGGGAGCGTCCGTCCGTGCCAGGCCACGCGTGGCCAGGAGAGGGCGCGGCGCAGGGACCGCGGGCGGCGCGGGAGTTGTTTGCCGGAGCGGAGACCCGGAGACGCTGGCGGGGACGCCTGCCAGCTCCCGCTGCCCGCGGCTGGGCGGCCCGGAGGGAGCGCGTCCCAGGTCCCACCGGCGCCGGCGGTCCGCGCGCGCCATGGACCGCAAGGCGGGCGGCGGCGGCGAGGAGGAGGAGGATGACTGCGTGGACTCGGGCGCCGAGACCGGAGGGTGAGCCGGACTGGGTGTGGGTGGGAGGCGCTCTCCGAGTTGCGCGGTGGTTCCTCTCCGGCCCGGACGGTCCTGGACCCGGCGGCGGAGCCGGAGCCCGAGCCGCAGCGGCTGAATGGGGCTGCCGGGGCGGCCGGACCCCCTGGCCCCCGGAGGAAGCCGGAGGGGCTGCGGGGAGCCCGCCCCCTCCCCGGCAGGCTGTGAGAGCAGAGTCGCGTGGTCCACGGCGGCCCCGGGCCGGACGGGCCCACTCCGGGGCGGGGGAGCGGAAAGACCGGAGGTCCAGAGACCGCCCCCCACCCCCCCAACATACACTCAGCCCCCCACCGGGGCCCGCGGGCCCTCCGTTATTACGAAGATGAGGTGGCGCCCCGGGCAAACGCAGCGCGCCCCGAGGTCATTGTTAGAGAGACGAGAGATGGTCGTGCACCTGTTTCGACCTCCCCCGAGGACTTTCTGCCCGTGGCTCCGGAGCCCCCTGGAGACCGGAGCGGGGGTCCGGGACGAGGGAAAGAGGGTAGGACCCCCGGCACCAAAAAGTCTTCCAGAAGTCGGCGAAGTTGGCATTTTTCACTTTAAGGTTTTACTGAGTTTGCTGAGACTCCCCTCCTCCCCGCCGAACGCCCTCTCCTCTCTGTGCACCTGCCCCACCCGGGACCGTTCGCCGTGGGTCCAGGGGGGACGAAGGCATGTTTAAAGAAATGCCCTTTTCACGTCAACGACCCGGTCCCGCCAGACCTTCGGAGACTAGCCAGCCCTCTCCCAGCCAAACCGGCGGCCCGGTTGTCTTGTGGGAGGTGAAAGTCAGTGTGAGAGCGTCCACCCAGCCACTATCTCTCGAGAACTTCCCGGTGCCGAGCCAGCGCCGCGTCCAGGATGTGTCCAGGATGCGGGTACTGACCCGGGAGGAAAGGGTGGGCGTCTTTTCCTATCCGGAGTAACCCCGGGGGCGGCCGGAGCTGCCGGGTCAGAAAGCCTTGATCCTGGAAGGGTGGGGAGGTTGCCACCCATCTCAGGGGCTGGCGGTCAGGACGAGAGCGGGAAGGGAGCCCAGCCTCGGAATGGACCCAGGGTTCCGACCCTGACCCCACGCAGGGCTCCCTGCTCAGCCCCTCCTCCCGCCCCCCCCCCCGCCCTTCCTGGCGGTGCCACTGCGGGAGCTCGCCCAAATCTGGACACTGCGCCCAGAGCATTTACCCCACAGTGGCCTCTCCGTGGCACCCAAACGTGTGAGCGTCTGTGGTTCCCCGCAGAACCCAGTGGCATTCCAAAGGGGTGCCTGAGCCCAAAAATGCTGAACCCCCTGGCTTTCCCCCCACACTTTGCGTATGTGGCATTTATCAACTTTAATCGAAGGTCCTTGGCTTCCCCACCCCCCACCCCCCTACCCCCGCCTTTAGGTCGATGGACCACAAATAAAAGAAAGCAACACAACTAACCAGCTCATTTTCAGCCAAGTCACATAAAGCACTGACTAGTCTGGTTGTTTGGGTTTTCTTCTAATTTGCAAAGCTCACCTAAAACAAATATGTTTTCCCAAGGCCTCTCTCTCGGGGAGAAATGGGTGGAAAGGAATCTGTGACCCCCCCCCCCCAATGCACTTGCCATCACCCCAGGGTCCCGAAAGAGCAGCACCCAGCTGCCAGGACTCCCGGGAGGGGCTTGCTGAACACGCTGGTCCAGGAGCTTCTGTCCTCTGCCTGCCGCGAAAGTGTGCAGTTATGACCCGACAGAATCGTTTAGAGAATTCTTACAGCCTCCGTGGCAGCCTTAAATGAAAGATGCAGGTACAGTGGCCTGCCTTTAAATGAAATAGTTTCTGTGGGTGCTTCCTGGTCAGGCATCTGCCACGTATCCCCAGATCCCTTGAAGTTGAGTTCAGCTACCGAAAAGCCCCTCCCAGGTTCCCTGCTTTTCCAGAGCTGGCCCCCTCCCACCCTCTCCAGCTTTCCTATAGCTGGCCTGTGGAGAGTGCATATAAAAAGCCAGAGAAAGCGCTCCGTACGTGTTGGCTGTCATTACTGTTAAAGCACAAGTCTGATCGCCCACGTCTCTCCCATTCAAACTCTCAGTGGCTCTGTCGTCTATAAAAGGCAAGGATCTCAGCGTGGTGCGCAAGCCCTGATGTTGTGGCGTCCCTCCCCCGCTGGCCTTGTTTCTTGGCAGGTCCACCCGTGGGCCCTGCCCTGGGCCACACCAGCAGGGGTGTCCGACGGCTCGCCTTTGCCGAACTGACCTCTTCGCCAGCCATGCCCTTCTCTGCCTTGCATGCCTGTCCGCCAGGCAAAACTCCAGTCTTCCTTGACGACTCAGCTCAGGCGATACCATTCGCTAAGGCAGGGACACGGAGTTTGGGGTCCATGAATTCCTTCCAGTGGCTTGCAAAATGATGTCCCTTGTGAGTTTTTATGAGAAGAGACGGATTTTTTTTTCATCAGATTCTCAAAGGAGCCTGTGATCCCCTTTAAACCAAGTCTGGGCAGGGTGGGAGAAGTTTCCTTTTCAATGCGCTGCGTTTGCGGTCTTGGGAGCTGTCCCAGGAGGGGTGGCGGCAGCGCGAAGGGCAGCACGACGACGCTGTGTTAGGGAACGGTCAGCCTGAGCACGGCCATTGCAGACGGGGGAGTGGAGTAGGTGACCTAGAGGCAGCCCAGCATTTGCTGTGCTGTTCTGAGCCTTCCCGTGTTTTGTGAGCACATTTAATCCTGCAGCAGCTCTGTGGAGTGGGCACGATTTAAGGCCAGCCTTGAACACATACATGTCAGGTAAAGGAAGTTAAGACATTAGAGGAGCCTGAGAAAAAGTTTGCATGGGATAAAGAAAAAAAAAAAAAAAAGGAACCATGTGCTATTCCAGAAGCCAGGGGAAGACAGGAGGCAGAGATCAACGGTGCTGCTGAGGCCAAGATGAGGAATGGGAAGTGTGGTCTTTTTAAAAGGAGATGAGGAATGGGAGGAAAGGTGGTGTTTGGCAGTGGAGTAGTGGAGGTGGGCTTACCGACCTCCTCTGCTTGGTTACGCTGTCCGAGTCAAATATTGTAAGGAAGTCCCTGGTTTCCTCTGTGACCAATGCACTGACACCTGCCCTGTCCGTCCAATCAGCACTTCTCCGTCATGACCAATCAGGATGCGCAATGTGGACCCATTGGGTCTGGCTGATTTGGAGAGTGCAGTAAGGGAAGGATTTCCCAAACAAAGGCAGTGACTGGGCAATAAATAAGCACAGAAAGGACTCTGTGAAAGGGAAAGGATAAAGATATCCTCATGGTCTATGACATCAGCTGTCTGAAAAGGTGGAGGCAGGTAGACTTCAGACCGCCATTCTGATCTGAAAAAAACTGGCTTTGGATAAGAGGGGGGACTTCTCCCCTCTTGCAATGAGCCGGAGAGAAGGGAATATGGGTTTCCATTTGGTAACAATGAGGCCTCCTTCCCCAGGAGAAGGGAGATTCGACGTAGTTGTTGGGCAGTACTGAGCGAGCACACAGGTGAGAGGAGTGGCCATGCACGTGTGGTGGCCCCGGTCGGTCACCTTGCTGTTTATTTCCCTGCAGCAGTGCTCCAGCCCCGAGGCCCAGGCACACAGAGAGGGATGGAAGGTGTTTGGAATCACCGAGGCTTGGGGGAGAGGGAGTATTTCTAGTGTAAACCAACGTCAGTTTTAGACTGTAATGAAGAATAACCAGCACTTATTTGAGCAAAAGGAGCTGTAGTGTGGCAGAAACAGATACAGGTAACAACTTAAACTGTGTTCCTCCGAGACAGAGGGGGAGCTGTCTTTCATAGTGGAAGTTCCTGCCTGTTCCCAATTAGGTCCTTATTTATTTATTTAGGTAAATGAGGTATCTGAATGTATGCACTTAGGATTGATCCAAATCATGCAGGCCCATTGGGTCCACATTGCGCATCCTGATTGGTCATGACGGAGAAGTGCTGATTGGACGGACAGGGCAGGTGTCAGTGCATTGGTCACAGAGGAAACCAGGGACTTCCTTACAATATTTGACTCAGACAGCGTAACCAAGCAGAGCGGTAGTTCAGTAAGCCCATCACTGAACCAAAGTGGGGCCGGGCTGCCTGCCGCCACCAAAAAGCGAACTCCAGAGGCAGAGGCTGGTGAGAGAGGAAAAGGGTGTTTATTTGAATATTGCATGATCTGGGAGAATGGCAGGCTCTTGTCTCAAAGCCCGTCTCCTCTGCAAAACCCAGACACAAACCCAACTGTCTTCAGTAAGAGTTCCTGTTCCCGTTTAAAGTACCGTCCTTGAGACCTGCGGGCAGCTGCTGGGCATCCATCCACGTAGCTTCGCTTGTTCCTGGCTGCTGTCTGGCTTCAGGCTGTTTCCTGGAACCGGTGTGTGGGGCTGGCACCATCATTGGCCGGTGCAGTCGCCAGGTGGGCCGGAGAGCATCCCTTCCTTCTGCTGGGTTTATATACTTTCGGGTGTGGGGTGGACCAGCTGCTTTCTCAGAATGCCTAATGAACTTCCCAGATTTCCACATGTTCTGGGTGGGTCCACCTTCCAACCCCCCTTTCCCCTCCGGCTAGACTGACTGACAGTCCTCTTTGGTCCAGCTCCTCCCCCTGCCGCCATTCTGATCTGGAAAAACTGGCGAGTCAGCTACCGGCGGTGGTAAAAAAATCTTTAAAAAAAAAACCAGAATCTCTTAAGGGAGGGACAGGCAATGCCGTAAACCCAAATGAAAGACAGAGAATACGTAAGACCATGTTCTATCTTCATATCTGGCCGGTAAGCCACTCTTTCAAACGCAACTATACCGGATGGATTACTTTCATTCAAAAGTTGGACCTGGCGCGAATGGACCTCCACTGCAGAGTCAGCTGTGCCCCAGCTTCCTAAAAGATAGGGTCTGTCAACAAAAGAACGCCCAGCCTAAGAGAAGCCTTCTAAGAGTTTATCTGAGCCACCTGATTGACAGTTGCCAGCAAGCACGCTCTCAACAGACTGAAGAAATGCTCAGGAGAATGGCGGTTTTGCA